TCACCCTATAACTCAGTCGAGTGCCAGGTCATGCAGACTTCGTTTTCTAAAGGATCTTTCCCCTTATTTCTATTCTTACAACCACCGAGGCCCTCAGACCTTTTCTGAACCAGGCTCATCGTCTCTCCCTGGAACCTAGGATCCTAACTTCCTGCCTTCAACCCATGCCATACACAATACTAGGTTAATAATCTTCCAGAAGGTCGTCCTGAAAGCTTGGGCTTTCCTATGTACAGAACCCAGTGCTGGCTACCATACCACTAAAACAAGCTAATTTTCAACCAGAGGGTTGGGCTCTTACGATACCATCATTCCAGAACTTTGCTCTACTCAATGGCCAACTCAACTTCAGATTCAACTCCATTCCCTAAGACCCAATGCCCGTGAGTTTCTCACACTATTTCACTTAATCCTCACAACAACCCAGCACACTGGCATTATTGCTCACATTCTATTCATGATAAAATTCAGGCTCAGAGACGTGCTCTATCTTGTTCAAGATCACAGAGAGAGTACATGATAGACCTTGCATTTGAACTCAGGAATCCAGACCCCAAAGCTCAGGTTCTTCCTGCCCCAGTATGGCGTCTGCTTATCCCATGACACCTTTGTGCAGGTTATATGACCCCTCAGTGCTCTCTTCAACAAAACAAAGTCTACTCCAAAAAAGTAACTTGTTGGCATGCCAATCCATGATAGAGACCAAAGAAGGGACCAGAGGGCAGGAAGAAGCTGATGAAATGAGGAAGGATGGCTCTTGGCACCACTGTATGTAGTATGCATGATGCTCCCCAGCCTCGAGTATGAGCCAGTACGGGTTTTGTGCCTAGGAAAGCCATAGCTTTCAGGAGCTCTGGGAGTTCCGACCCAAGTGAGGAGCACAGCATTTTATGGCACACAGAATTGACTGGTGCTCAGGGTCTCTGGCACTCTGGGGTCAACTCAGTCTCCCCTGGCTTTGGACCCAGGGACTTGGGAGCTCCTGGGGCCAACATGGGAATGGGAGACACTGACATGGAATAACCAAAGGTATATTGTTGTCTAAGAATATGTACATTAGGTGGTGACACCCTCACAGCTCTGGGGACTGTGTGAGAGAGCGAGGGGTCTGGAGTACCTCCTTCCTTGCTCTCTAAGTTCAGGAAAATGGCCTGCAATCACATGGTGAATGTGTGATGACAGACACAAGGCTCTGAAGGAACAGGGCCAAGGTGCATGGAGAGCATACATCACGGGGATGCCAGCTGGACTGGGGGGCTGGGAGGGCTTCTGCAACTCTGGAGGGTGAGGAGGCCAGCCTAGGTGAAGTGCGGGGGGTGGGCAGAGGGGCTGGTGCTGGAGGGAGCGGGCTTTCCAGGAGGAAGGAACAGCACATGCAAAGTTGGCAGGCACAGGCCTTTAGAGAGAAAGGAAGGAGGCGAACGTGATGGGAACGCGGAGAATGGTTCAGTGTGGATGAGACGGGGCTGTAAGGCTGGGACAAGGCCACATGGGAGCCTGCAGGCCTTGCTGAGGGGTTTCCTTTTGCATTTTAAGAGCAATGGGATCTGCGTTCTAAGCAGAGGGTGATGCAGAGGGTGGAGGGGGGAGAATGGGGGAGGCTGGAGTGGATAAAGGGGGCTGCCTCAGCAGATCAGGAGACAAATGACAGACAAATTCCTTGGAATTAGGTTGGGAGCATGCGGGGGGCGGGGAGGGGGCAGGAAAGGGTGAGTAGTAGACCCATCCCGCAGAGACCAAGGTGGGAAAGATTGCTGTGCTTCTCTTCCCTTCACCCAGGGGCGTGCACTGTCTCACGACCAGCCCAGCTTTCCCGAGCCCTGGGAGTCTTGCTTGTGCCTCTAGTGTTCTGTTCTGTCCTTAAAGAGCCCTCCTTCCCCTCCCTTATTGGCTCTGAAGGCCGGACCCAACCTGTTGCATTCTGCCAGGTCCGTAACACCACCCAACTCCATCATCTCCAAAATTACCCCTTCTCTCAAATTCTTGCTTTGTGGTATACTAACGCTCAGCTAGATTTCAGCAGAAAGGATTCTGATGAAACTAAAATGCACACCGAGGAGCTGCTGACGGAGCACTTGCCCATTTTTGCCATCTGAGACAAGTGTTTCTTATTAATAAAAACAATTTACATATGTTTACAAAGCATTTTCATACAATCCTGTTTAATCCTCAAAGTCACGCTTCTGATATTCCTCGCAATTTATGACGAAGGTGTGCCAAGAGGCTGAGTGACCTGCTTGCTAATGTCATAAAGTCAACAATGACAATAGCCACAATGACCACTGCTGATGACGACAGCCTGGCCACCACTGTGACATGATGCCAGCTGGGTCCCAGGTACCACACTCTGTATTGCACACAGCACACTAACATTTGTCTCCGTTCCACGCTGAGGGAGGTCCCATTGTTGCCATTTTGCAGATGAGACAACCGTACTGAAGACCATCCAGCTAATACATGAGAAAAGGACGACTAGAACCAGGACCCCCTGATCCCAGGGCCCGACTCTATCAGCTCTTACACACTGTCCCACGACAGTGCTCCTCTTCTCCGGATGACGTGATTAGGAACTTAATAATGAGCTTAGCTTTGCCCCCACCTCAGTGGTGACAGTTGAACCACAGATTAGGACTGGTACGCACTGTCAGAAGTGTTATGCATCCAGAACCTTTCATAATCCAACAATTAACTGCATGACTTCAAGAGATGAGTGAACATTAGCTACAGGGTTTCACCTATAAAATTGGAGTAATGACATCCATCTCACAGGTCGGGTGTGAGAGTTTGGGGAGATCATGCAGGTGAAATGCTTAGCAGAGTGGCTAGTGGAGAGGGGGCACCCGGCAAAGGCAGGTGAAAGAAACACCGAGTAAGAGTTTCTCCCAGGTTCAATTTCAGGCAGGAAGATTAAGTTAAGAATTTCACATCCCAAAGGGGAGAACATTTTTGCTTAGATCAAGTCACCCCAGGGACCTCCTGCCAATGCCCTGTCCCTATGATCTTATGACCCCGTCACTCCTTCACTGCACTGAAGTCTGATTTCTACTGTTTCCCTTTGCAGACTCTCAGGGTTGGGAGGAGCCTCGAGGATGATCAGCTCAGCCCCTGAGCCTGAGCTTCCGTCTCTCCAGCGTGCCCCCAGGCAGCCCTCTAGAAAAGCGCTTCCTCTAATGGGAACTCAGGGGCCCCCAAGCCTGCCCAAGTCATTCCACTCTGTTTACTTTCCACCTCTCCTGGAAAATAAACACACTCTCCCCATTCAGGAAAAGTATATGAGGCTGGAATGGCATTTTTGTTAGTCTGCATCTTTTGCAGTATTCAACTCTATTGGTCATCATTTCTTAAATAACAACAACAAAAAAGTAAAATCTCTGTTTCCTTCTTTCAGGAATACTCAGTGTTGCTAACAGCACAAGAGTTCCTTAGGATTCCAGAGAGAGAAAAGGGCAGAGTCAATTGCTTGTTACCTTACTTCTTAGTTTTTTGAAAAATAGATGAGCCATCTTTCTCTTCTGCCATTTAGTGAGAAAGGACTCCCATAAAGACATTTTTTTCCTAGAGATAGTGAGATGTGACAGGCAGTTCACATCTTTACTTGTCTGAAAGCACACAGATACAAACATGTGGCCCGCTAGGTGACCAGGTCTACAGAATTTTGCTCTTTCCTTGAGCCTGGTGCGAAGCCAGAGCACTGTTCCAGACTGTCAAAATCAAGAGGCAAAAATCTTTGGCTGTAAGAGGCAGAGGAGTCTAGCCACATTCGCTTGCTTAGCATTGCTATGTAATACACAAAGGAAGACAGCAGAGAGATGAGTCATACAAATACATAGTAAATAAATATACTTCATTTCCATCTCGGTGGCTTTTGCTTTGTTTTCCTCCCCTCCATGCTAATAGCCTTGCAATGGAGGGACAGTGAGGAAATAGTGGGTTTGGTCTGGACATAGCCTCAGAAGGGACTGATGTTTCTCGCCTTGCTGCTCAGCTCTGGCTTTTTCAGAAGAAACTTGTAGATTCTTAGATTAGAAGAGTCTCAATGCAATCCCTCTCATTTTACAGATGAGCAATCTAGGATCCAGACAGAGACTGATGACAAAGTCATAGACCTGGAGAAGTGAATGTTCCTAGGGGTCCTCCAGTTCCACAACCCTACCTGCTACTGGAATGATCCAGACAAGCCATGGTGACCAGGGAGTGGGAGGGGGCTCCCCTCCAGTGTGGCACCCAGGCCACGTGCCCCAGCAGGTGCCAATGGTCAAAGCGACTATACTGAAGAGAAATGGACTGGACCTCCTTGTACTTTTGCCTGCATTTCTCAGTCAGAGGCTGAGCCTGGCAGCAAAATGTCTGGTCCTGGCTCTGTAAAAGCAGTGTTGCCTCTGGCAGGTTAGAGACCTTGGACGAAGGGCTTGCCCTTTTCTCTCTCAGTCTTGAGATGGCTAAACAGCCTGTAGGTGTGGAGAAATCAGCCCCAGGCCCATGGGGCTGCAGGAGCACATGAGCAGGATATTTCACAATCTCCAGATCCAAAGGTGGCTTCTGACGATTTGTTTATCAAACTGCTTGTTCCCATCCGACTGCCTGCCCACACCCACCCACCAAGCAGTTAGGGGCCAGCCTCCCTGCTCCTCCCAGCTTCGGGACAAGCAGGACCTTCCATGGCTTTCCAGCTGTGGGTGGGGAAGGTCTCCTCTGAGCCCCCACAGTCAGACAATGGCCACACTACTGCTTCCTAGGCCTTCCCAGACATTGCTAGAAGGAGACAAGCAGGCTTCCCTGCAGAGGCAAGTGGCGCTGCCAAGAAAACATGAGCAAAATTAGGAAAAGGCAGACCCGTATCCCTCAGCCAGGAAGCACAGAAAGGACCAAGAAGGAGTCGGGGGGCCATGTGTCCACCCAGATGCCGGCTTCCTTCCTTCTTCCAGGCAGCCCCAGCGCAGGCTCCTGCACCTCCCGCCCCCACCCTGTTCCCATGGCAAAGGAGAGAAGGACCCACTTACTGCTCGTGTTCATGATGATGCCTTTGCACTGGGTCTTTCATTCAAAACGGAGGCCCCGGTGGCTTTGTAAATCTTCCGATCTTCCGACCTCACTCATCACCTGGAGGTGAAAAAGCAGTCTAGTGCCAGCTCTGTATCCTCAGGTGCTCTCTCCCTCTGCTGTCCCCTCTCAGCCTGGGCTGAAGCCGTTGGCCTTGAAGGCGACTGGACTAACAGGCGCAGGTGAGAGCAGGAAGGAGGCGGCGGCAGAGAGGACACGGGCGCCCCGGTCCTCTTACCCCTCGGACCCGAATCCCGGGCAGAAGCGGGGCTGGCAGCGCCTGCTCGCGCGCACCCCCGACTATTCCAGCCCGGCGGCCCGGGCGCCCAGAGGGGGTGTGGACCACAGGGAGGCAGGGCGGGGGCAGCGCGCGGGGCGCCGGGCTCCGCTGGGCAGCGCGGCCCCGCCCGGCCTCCGCCAGCAGCGACCCGCCCCGGGACCCACCTCTCGGCCAGCGTCGGGAGCCAGAGGCCCCTGCCCGGGCCCCTGAGGCCGGTTCATGAATCCTGCTCCTCGTCTGGGGTCTCGGATTCCAAGGCGAGCAAAGCGAAACAGGAGAGCTCGCCATCCATGATGCGGGCTCGCGGGCGGCAGCGCGGGGGGCGCGGCCGCTCGCTGCTGCCACCTGCTGGACGCGCCGGCGCGTGTCCGGGCCCCGCCCCGCCCAGGCTTCTCCCTGGATACTGGGGTGTGATGGGGCCCTTGGAGGGGACTCTTATGTCCTGGGGCCGACAAGGGGGTGCTTGATGGCCTATTTCCCCTCCCTCAATACTGGAGTCTAAGGGCTAGACAGCGACAGGGAAATCAAATAATGTTGGAGGGGCTGTGAAGAAAGGATTGGCTTTGCTGGAAGACGGTGTTCACTTCGAACTCTGCTCCTAACAAGCTCCATGTCGTCTAGTCTTGAGCAGGTTGCTGCTGTCTCTGCCCCGT